CGCCAATATCAGACCAAAGGTGTCACCACTGGCATCATGATCGGTAACTTATCTTTCTTCCTTTATTTGTATATATATCTGACTGTTAGAAGTATTACCAGTTAAGTCAATTTGTTCTCAGTTGTAGAATAGGTTACCCTTTTGTTTGGAAAAAATACCCAAATTAAAATGGAAGTAACAGCTACATATATTCGTCTGTCGCTATGTAAGCAGTAATCTGTAAAATATATAAAAAAAATATTTACCCAAGCCTTTACTAATAACAATTAGATACATTATATAAATTAATGTGTTCTGTTTATATGCACTGTGGTGTTAAAATGTTTTTAAAAAAATGTTCGAGTTATCCCTCTTTGTACATAACAGGTCAACTGACTTATGATTATATTGGTTTCCTGATGAATCATTCCCAATCAGAATGACAGTTGTGAGAATGGATGGATGAAAGTAGTATATCATATGTCTCTCTTTGTTATGATTTATATGCCTGTTTTAGAATTTGAATTATACTGTTTAAAAGTCTTTTCTCACGCTAAGAACCTTAGTCTGTATACTATTCTTTTCTAGAGTTTTTTTTATCACAGATTCTATTAATGATTCCATTTTGGCCCCAATATTTCGTTCTAATGTAAACACATTTCTTCACCGGAAAAGGTGTGTTATTCTTTAATTTATTCTATTGTTTTTATTTGTTTTAAAAGTTTTAAGGATTATGGTAGATGTTGGCAAACATTGTAACAAGTTATTTTACAAATTCTTCCAACACACAAATGGTGGCAATTAAGAATGCCATTCTGTATATTATGCTATGATACCCAATAAATTAATCGCATAAAACAGTGACTTGTGGGGTGCACATTTGCAGATAGATATAGCAAGGATTTGTATAGTAAAAGAACCTTCTTACTATACAAATCCTTGGATATGGCAAAATCATTGATATGGACAGACTAAGATAATGGTATGTATATCATATCAGTAGTTCATTAGGACTTCCCTTCATCTTGCTTCAAACTTGGTAGACAATAACATTTAAAAGTCCATTTCCCAATTAAAAATCTATTTCTGTGCAAAGAATTTTATCTAGTGGGAGTTAAATTAATATAACAATTCAGTCAGGTCTGCATTCAGCTCAATGTAATTTTCCAGTTAAATAATCATGTCAAAATTTTTTTGGCAAATTTCAGACTACATTAACTTCAAAGTAATGAACTCATAATATGGTTTCTTCATCTCAACAGATAGACAAATGAGTTGATTCACCAAATCATATTTTTTTCAAGAGATTTGCAACCTTTTTAAACCATGTTTTAAGATTTTATATGTGGCACCACCCCTCGCCTATTGAAATTATGGTGAAAACTAAAAAATTTGGTAAATGAGGAATATTCTAACATAAGTATTTGTTAATGTAGGTGGCCACTGTTAATTTTTTTCAAAATGCGGTCATAAATTTTGCAAAATTATGCCAAAAATCAGTTTATAATGAACTTCCCTACATTATCGACATCACAACTACACCACTTATGATGCATTCGATTAAAATCTTCTTTAACAGAAACAATTAGACATTATAACATATGCCTTCATCAAATTATCATCACATTTAAAAATGTTCAGATTTAAGAGCAAAAATAAGGAGTTTTAATAAAAAAAAAAATAATTTAAGACTGATACTGTGTAAATATTCACTGCAAAAAACTAAGTTAATCTATTAGTAAAATACTGAAAAAGCAAAAGATCCCTCCAACATGTTTGACTTTGCCATATTCTGTATGTATGCGCCTGTCCCAAGTCAGGAGCCTGTAATTCAGTGGTTGTCATTTGTTGATGTGTTACATATTTGTCTTTCATTCATTTTTTGTACATAAATTAGGCCATTAGTTTTCTTGTTTGAATTGTTTTACATTTGTCATTTTCAGGGCCTTTTATAGCTGACTATGCTGTATGGGCTTTGCTCATTGTTGAAGGCCGTACAGTGACCTATAACTGTTATTTTCTGTGTCATTTGGTCTCTTGTGGAGAGTTGTCTCATTGGCAATCATACCACATCTTCTTTTTTTTACATGACTGAAGGTGCAGGGCTGAATAACCTCTTTGAAAATTGTAAATGCCAATACAACTGCATACCAAATACCATTGACTTCTCATATGTAAGTTCCCTTTAAACTGACAAACACAAACTTTAACATCTAAACAATGCAAAAGTTTCCAAGTCAATAAACTATGGGTGGCAGGGCCATATGAGAGGGAATGCTATTACAATTGCATACTAAATATCATTGACTTAGTGTTGTTGGTTACTGTAAAGTCAGAAATTATTGCGAGGTTTTTATTATTGCGAAAAAGTTGTAAACCCAATAATTTAATCTTGTATTTTGAAATATTTTATATGAATTAAACAGGATTTTTCTCAAAATCGTAAAAATTGAAATCGTATTTAAGTCTAAACTGACAAAATCTCAATAATAAATGCACACAATAGTTTCTGAATTTACAGTAATCAGAAACTGATCTAATCACATCTTCAAAATGTAAACTATGCAATTTAAAGGACTGAGGGGGCTGGGCCAAAAAAAGCCATGGAAATGAGATGGATCACCTTGCAGACAATCACAAAACATGTAAATTCAGCTCAAGTTTCTAAGTCAATAGACCATGACTGAAGGGGCAGGGCCAAATAATCTCGATGAACTTGATATGTGCCAATGCTAATACAACTGCATATCAAATACCATTGACCTACCAATTGTGGTTCTCCTTGAATTGACTTATTAGCAAACTTATACATGTAATCTAAGCATAGATGTTTCATGTGTTGGCTCTCCAATAATTGGAAATCATTCATGTTTTTTTTTTGACATATGGAATAATTCGGAATAGCATTTTATATAATACGTAAACTATTGTTGAAATCATACCACAAAAATAGTCTCAATTGTTGTGAAATGTTCCAAAGGTACCGTCCTGAAATGATTTACCCTTTATATGTGGACTAACAAATTATTTGGGGTCTTCCATGTATTGATTTACCATATATAAGTTTACTTCCTAGCAAGGTTCTATGTGCGAAAACACTGCTTCTGCACTGCTTTTATGTTGTTTTCGTATATGTGACCTTGAACTTAAGACATCATATTTGATAGGATCTTTCTCATTAAATAACATATATCCAAATTTAGGTGAGGCCTTGGTGGCGTTGTTGTCGGAGTTGTTAAAACTACTGTATCACTAGCCTTTCAACTTTCAACGCAGAGGTTGTAAGTTCGAACCCTGCATGTGGCAAGTGCACTTGACTCATCTTAATGGACTATAATTGTCAGTTTTCCTGTCGAAGGTTGTGGTTCTCTAACGTACTACCCACTAGCCAATGAATCCAAATACAGATTAAATTGCAGCATAATTCCTTGAAGTTCCCCAAAAAACCTTTCACTTCCATTTTTGATCTGTGGCTTTCGACATTTTAACCTCAAACTAGATCAACATACCCTTAATTAATATTCAGACTCCAGCCAACCAGTCTATAAAATAAGATGTGGTATGATTGCTGATGAGACACCTAGTCTATAGGTGCTCCAAAGTTCAAATGAGGCTAATTATAAGCAGCTGAATGTTGCTGTACAGCCTTCAACAATGAGCAAAATCAATACTGTATACCAGGAAGTTTTCTATATAATCCCTAGGACAAAACAAGGGGAGATGATTCAAACAAGAATTAACAGACTAATTTATAACCAAATAATTTATGAAAAACAAATATGACAGACAAGTACTTCTTCTAAATGGATTGTGTCCTTGGCATTGAAGCTGCAAATACCAGTTTTTATGTCTGACCTTGCCTCAAGGACATAGTCGGTCATCAAAATTGATGAATTATGCTAGGGTCAAGATATTTGTAACAAACTCATACCTTTGAAGAGGAACTAAATAAGGACCTTTCAATTTTTCAACAAACAGAAACATTTCTATGTAATTGTTCTTTATTAAAAAGAGAGACAAACATATGGTAACATAGAAAAACATGCACCCTGCATTAAAAAACCCTATAGGGAAAAAGCATGGGTGTGTAATTGTAACAGATATCTCAAGAGTACAATTGTCATGAACAAACAGGGTTGTTAGTGGAAGAACTATTTATTACATCGAGACTACCACATGTAAAATTGTCATGAACAAACAGGGTTGTTATCAACAGTGTGAAAGTTCAATTAAATCAATTTCATGGACAGGGTTTTTCATTTTGTTAGATAAATCTTTGTAAAACAGGCAAAATTTCGTAGCATATAAAATGCAGATATATCTATAGAGGTAAATTTCTATTTTGTATTCGACAGAGCTGATGAAATACTAAACATTTTGAGTTTAATAAAACTTGATCAAAAACACCTTCAAATATTGGAGATTAATCTTGTTACACAGAAATTAGTATCTTAATAATTCTGTGACACTTAATTAAAATCAATCAATTAATCATTAATCCCAACAAGAAACCTTAACCTATAACTACTTATTAAAAGGGTGAGGGTGGGGTGGGGTGGGCGACGAAAGGAGGGGTGAATCAAACTTAAAATAAGGGTGTTGACCAAGCTGTCACCATTATTCTGTAGTCATTATATTTGGGACACGAAATTGGGCTTGGGGCAAATAATATCAGATGCATTTTTGTAGATGATGACTTGTAAATAAAATTTGAAATCCCCATGCCAAACCAAACCCCTTAATGCATTATCTAGACCTCTGTTTACAAGCTTTTTTTTTTACAGAGCTCTAAAGAATACTTTCATCTTACTTTATATACATCTGATATAACTTATCTAACTTACATTGATACATAAAAAAATGATAACTTATATATTCTTAATTGTTGACCTTCCGTGCAGTGACAGAATTTACAAGTATGAAGAGAAAAGCAGGGGTAATCCCTCCCCTTACGCCTCAATCTCAGCCTGCTAGTCTCTCCATTCACCAATGAATGTTAATCAGGAAGGCAACTAAAGCAATTCTGTAAAAAATAACAAAACATTTTATACACAAAAAATATCAGATGCATAAAAATAAAAAAAAATCATTGTAAATATACCGAAAATATTTAACCCACATTTCATACCACCCAGTTATTATCTAGAACTCTGATAAAAATTCTTTTTTTTCTTTCTTTTTTTTTTTACAGAGCTCCAAATAACAACTCTCTTCAAATCGTATACATCTGATATGAACAACATTTGTACAAAACCTTTACCAAAGGAACTAACCAGTATGAAAAGATAAGCAGGGGTATTCCCTCCCCTTATACCCATTTCTCAGCCTGCCAGTCTTCCCATTCATCACAACTGGTGTTCCTGATAATTTACAGAACACTATAAAAAAGAGTGTTGTACATCTAGATTGGACATAGTGTGATGATAAACTATAAAGATAATATACACTTGCAGTGCATCCTTAATTTTGTACTATGCTGAATACTTGTAGTTAATCTTCAACGAATCAATCAAATGTAAATAAATACAATTTGAAATTCATAGAATAGCTTCTGTTTTCCCTGTTTGTCCTTCATTCACACAAAAAGAATTTAATAATTTTAATGAAATAATGCAAAACTCTGTCTCAAATAAATGTTTAAACATTTTCCATCCTCATTCTAATGATAATACTTCTTTATAAATAGTAATCATAAATGTATTCAAGATTGCATAATGAAACTGTACAAAATACCACAAATTATTTTTTTTACATTTTTTTTGTCATTCCTCACAGATTTATTCTAATGTAACCAAAACATCTTCGAAAAAAGAGATTTCAACCAATGGCAGCTGCCTGATTGTTTTCACTGGTCGCACTAAAGTCCTCTACTTTAACTACTTCATGTATTAACTATGACCATTTAAGGGAGAACTGTAGGCCTCTGAAATTCTAATGTAATCGACATGTCTGGTTAAAAAGACATAAATCTTTACAACTGACTCTCTCTTATCCTTCCTCTCTCTCTCTCTATTGATTTTTACAAGAATACTAATACACTATATTGTTTGTCAATAATTGTTTCCAAGTTCATCCACATGGCAAAGTCTCTTCTTCTTTATCAGTTGATTTGTAATTTCTCAAGCTCAGTTAATCTACAAAGAAACAACAAAATGTCAATTAAAACATGGCAATTAAATTGATAAAATAACATTTTTAATTCTTGATATGTCAGAAGTGATTCATACCATATATACATATAGGATTGATTGATTGATTGTTGCATGCTTAATGTCCAGTGATCAATATATCATGCATATTTTGAACATGCTTAAGGTGGTATGGTTGTCTTTCACCATCTTGGATTGTAAAAAACAGAGAATCTAAGGTCCAGATTTTCAATCAAGTTAGCAAAATTAGATGCAGAAATGAAGATAACTTATGTGAATTTGCATTTCAAAGAACAAATTTTTAAGATGATAACTCATAAATATTAATATTTTTACAAGATTATTTCTGCTTGAAATTTAAGTGAAGTAACTCTGAAATAGTGCATTTTCTGAAGGAATCTACTTGGAATTTTGCTATTTTGAATTTTAGCCAGATAAAACGCACTGTGACCCTATCTTTTCTTTTGATATTCTCAAAGCATTTTCTAAAAGCTAACTTTTCGTATTCTATTTTACAATTCTATCATTCAGTTTAGATTCTAATCACATAAAGATGTTTTTTCCTGTGTAATCCATACACAATATGTCATTTTGTAACAACCTGTAGCTTGAACAAATGTGCTGTGACCATACGTTTTTATAATATTTTTGAACATATTTTAATATTTACTACGCTTTGGCAAAGTATGAACAAATTCTATCATTTTTAATTTAGACTCTCCCATACCACCTTAAGGGAATACGATACAGTAGCAGGGGCAGATAATAACGTTTTCAAATCTTTTCGTGTTGTTTTCGCGACGTTGTTAATCAGAACGTTGTAATTTCGCGAAGTTTCTAATAAGAACGATTACATTTCGCGACGTCGAGTTAAATGTAGTCACCGTGATTTGTGGAAAATCCACTGACGTCATAATTCAAGTTGCGCGAATTTGAAACAAAGTACCTGCTAAGAAAATTGGCCATATCACGTCATAATTCCGGTTGCGCGAATTTGAAACAAAGTACCTACTAAGAAAATCGGCCATATCACGAGAAAATTGTTATATTTATTCATTAATAATGAGGTCAACACGACTCAACAGTATTAACTTGAAATGTGAAAAAAATCAAACCACATTCATAATTTTGTATGCGTTTTATTTCATATAGGAAATGAATAAAAGATAGGTAAATAATAATACGTCGATGAGACAGAAATCCAATTACACAAAAAGCCCAATAAGTAATTTAGATATCAACGTACTGTCTTGATCAAAACATAGTATCTACACCATTTTGCAAACTCTAAATCGTATGGAAAATTTTACAGATAAATTTAACAGAGACTATCAACAAAATGACAAATAGCATGATAAATAAAGACAACGCCCAATACTGTTCCTGACTTTGAATAAGTACACTAAAAAGTTAAACGGCATTTTTAGAATTTAACCCAGTGGAATATATATGTGTATGAAAAAGAACTGTCAGTTAAAAAGACACAGTTATAAGCCCCGTATTATAGATGGAATGACAGACAGGAGGACGGACCGACATACAGACAGGGGTAAAACAATATGCCACCCCCCCCCCGGAATTGGGGGGAGGGGTATAGAAATACCCTGAAGACAAGCTTACGCAACTTATCTATTAATACAGAATAATGCAATTTCATGCTCTAATACCGACTGCTGTACTTCCTATGAAATGTTAAACTACACCGTAATGGACTATATTGAGATAATTACGACATGAATTTGCTTGAAACAGCTCTAAATATTCACTTTTTTAACATGTTCAGAGTAGTTCTAAGCTGACCCGAGTTAATGTGGGTATGGTATTGTGTTCATATAATGCCTATATAGTAGGCCGTTAGTTTTCTTGTTTAAATTGATAACATTTTTATGTCGGGCTTTTTAATGCTGACTTTACAGTGTGGCTTTTTTTTGTTGAAGGCCGTACGGTGACCTTTAATTTCGTTTATCTTCGTAATTTGAACTATGGTTGATAGTTGTTCTCATTGGCAATGGTACCAACTGTCCTTATCTTTATACTATCCCACTTACTTTATAATTGTTTCGTATTTTGTCATGTCGGGGCTATTTGAATAATTAAAATTATGCCCAAGCTGTGTTGTCTACATGAGTTGACGGACAAATGTCGGACAGAGATGCAATTTTTTTTTTATCAGATTTATCTTTTTTGTTTCCGCACCTTTCTTTTCTAAAAGTATTTACTTTTTGTATCCGAGTTTCGTAACAATTCATAAAAGTTTGGCAAATATGTTATGCTATTTTACGAGTAACCAGCTTTGAAATTTTGATGATTAATACATTGTATCATTGTTTTCGAAAAAAAACCTTGGCTATACCAATGAACTTGACAGCGTAATCGTGAACGGCGGGAATGATTTCACGGCGTTATTGCGATTAAAACTTATTTCAATGTAGTTTAGCGCCCTATTGGCAACCTATTGGTTTGTCATTACAAAATCAAGGTTTATTGCTTTTATTGAAAAAACAAGCACATGGACCCCCAGTTTTTTCTTTTGCAATCAATCAAATAATGTTTAAAGAACGCTCCGCCAAAATTTTAGGAAAAAATCAACGATCGAACTTTTTCTGCACTTCTGAATAGACGCAAAAATATTGTCAATTTCTTTATTTCACTAATAGTAATATAAATTCTGAAATAATTATTTGGTTTAACTTTAAACTTGTTACAGAATGGTCATGCCATGGACCAAGGGAACATTTTACAAAAAAAACGGTTAAGTTATGACTGTTCGTTCAAAAGTATTGTAACTTTCCTTAAAAGTCCTTTTTTATGAAATTTCAGAGTTTTCGCTTCAAATATGCAATTTTCGGACCAAATTATCTCAAAAATTAAGTCATGAAGGTATATTTTTCTTTGCATATTTCAAAAGTACACATCGAAATTGACCTTGTACCAAAATTTCAAGAAAAAATCAACGAGGGATCTCTACTGTATCGTATGCCCTTAAAGGAAAGTTACCATGCCATTATAATTTTTGCATCACATTTATAAGCATTAAACATAACATATAACTGAGAAACGAGAGTATTTAAACTTGCTAGTATCAATGTTTCTTATCAAAATTTCAAACTTTCAAATATTTTGGTCAAGACTGTGTGGCTCAGGGCTTTGCTCATTGTTGAAAGCTGTACGGTGACCTATAGCTAATTTCTGTGTCATTTGGTCTCTTGTGGAGAGTTGTCTCATTGGCAATCATACCACATCTTCTCTCTTTTTTTATATTAACAGTATTATGGATAAAAAAGGTATGATGATAATCAAGTTTCCATTGTATAATTGCAGGAGCAATATTTCATAACCATTTTGTTTTTACTGTAAACTTACCTTGAAGTTGGTAATATAGTACTTCCAGGTCCTACTGTCCTAAGATCTTTAAATAGATCACATACAATTCTTATTTCCTGGATATCTGAAGAAGAAAAAATCATGTACAGTCATATCCTCAAGGATGTACTTAGGTGAGGTTTTGGAATTTGTGTTAAATGTTCAGACTCCTTGGTGTTTTTCGATACGATACAAGGTAAAATATTTTGCCCCATAACACCCATTTATTTTTTCATATAAGACTTAATAGATCATAAAAGGTCATTTAACAAAATTTAAGCAGATTCTTGATTTTTTTTCTTTTGATTTGAGACCCAAATTATACCAATGCAAATATAAGGTAAAAGTCTGAGCCAGCCTTTTCCTGCCATATTTTATAAATCAAATATCTCGAAAAGGAGCTGCATGACCTATCAATATTTTTAGTTTATTTTGATCCTTAACTAATACTCTTTCAGCTTAAAGTATCAATTTTAAATGCTTGATTTATTAATTTTTACCTTATATCACCTAAGTACATCCTTAAAAATGCCTATATGGAATTTAAATTATAAGTCAAAGTAGGACAATTTTCCACTAAGTACTTTACTGGGCTGTGCAAACTTAAAGTACTGTTTCAGATTTTTATTTCTTTTAAGGTTATGCATGATTTTAATGACTTGTAATGAGTAGTTTTTCACAACAGTCGCTACCAGTGGAGTCAAAGCTGCTTATCCTTTATTTTCTATTCAGAGCAAGTAAGTGTATATATCCTTCATTGTGGTGGGGTTTGTATTGCTAAATCTATTTTCTGGATGAATTTTTTTTTATTGCTCCAATGCAAAAACTACCGGTGCAAAAAAATTTGGTTGTACACTTTATCAGAATATATTAATGAAGACCTTTGGCTTTATGCATTTATCTTGATAGCTTTTCTGAAAACACAGTGAATTAACACACCAAAAATAAAATAAGAGCTATAAGGTTAATTGCAACATGTGATCAGAGTAATGTTGCCATGTTTTTTTTTAGTATAATTACCTTGTCTTTTGTATGTTACAGCTTCAGACTCAGTTGTGATGTGCCTTTCTGTGAGATTTATCAGTTTATAGTCCACTAGTACTGTCCATCCACATGAATACTGGTCACATCAAAATAAATGTCAATAATTCACTTGCTGGTTCCAAGGCCGTTGTAAATAATTCACTTGCTGGTTTCAATTTTGAATTTTAAGTCTATTAACTTCAGTCAGTTCCATGTTTGAATATTTCATTGCCCACTATTCTAACTGGTCGCATATATCATCATACAATAAGTCCATTAAGTCAAGACATTAAAAAACTGGTTATTATTAGAATATTTCATTATCACTATAGTTGTTACCTAGATGATTCCACACATCTTCTATCCTTGTGCCATTACTGGTATATTTTTTTTTAAATAGGTAAAAAATTCAAAAGTGCCTATTCAATGTAATTTTTTCTGAAAATTTAGAAGCTTTTTCAAAGTTTATTTAAAAAAGTTTAATTACCAAATAATTTTATTTAAAGAAAGGATAATTTAAATCATAATTTGATGAAAATGTTAACTATCAGCTGTAGGGGAGCTTACAAAGTATACAAAGTATACACAAAATTCACATGAAAGAAAGATAGTTCTTGCAGCCTTGTGGCTCAATCTCTGGTGGATAGTTCTCATTGGCATTCTTACTAAATCTCATTGGCATTCTAACCATATCTCATTGGAATTCTAACCACATCTCATTGGCATTATTACCACATCTCATTAGTATTCTTAGCGCATCTCATTAGCATTATTACCACATCTCATTAGCTTTATTACCACATCTCATTAGCTTTATTACCACATCTCATTAGCTTTCTTAGCACATATCATTGGCTCTATTACCACATCTAATTTGCATTCTTAGAGCATCTCATTAGCTCCATTACCACATCTCATTTGCATTCTTAGCGCATCTCATCAGCTTTATAACCACATCTCATTTGCATTCTTAGCACATCTCATCAGCTATATAACCACATCTCATTAGCTTTATTACCACATCTCATTAGCATTATTACAACATATCTTTAGCTTTATAACCACATCTCATTAGCATTATTACCACATCTCATTAGCTTTACTACCACATCTCATTAGCTTTATTACCACATCTCATTAGCTTTCTTAGCACATATCATTAGCTCTATTACCACATCTCATTTGCATTCTTAGCGCATCTCATCAGCTTCATAACCAAATCTCATTAGCTTTATAACCACATCTCATTAGCATTATTACCACATATCTTTAGCTTTATAACCACATCTCATTTGCATTCTTAGCGCATCTCATTAGCTCTATTACCACATCTTATTTGCATTCTTAGCACATCTCATCAGCTTTATAGCCACATCTCATTTGCATTCTTAGCGCATCTCATCGGCTTTATTACCACATCTCATTAGCTTTATTACCACATCTCATTAGCATTATTACAACATATCTTTAGCTTTATAACCACATCTCATTGGCATTTTTACCACATTTCATTTGCATTCTTAGCGCATCTCATTAGTTGTATTAACACATCTCATTGGCATTCTAAGCGTATCTCATCAGCTTTATAACCACATCTCATCGGCTTTATTACCACATCTCATTAGATTTATTACCACATCTCATTAGCATTATTACAACATATCTTTAGCTTTATCTCATTGGCATTTTTACCACATTTCATTTGCATTCTTAGCGCATCTCATTAGTTGTATTAACACATCTCATTGGCATTCTAAGCACATCTCATTGGCATTCTAAGCACATCTCATTGGCATTTTTACCACATCTCATTTACATTCTTCATTGATCACTGGACCAATTATTCTATTTATTTAGAGAATAAACCTTTAACAGATTTTTAAATTGCTTTTCTGAAAATCTTGAATAAGATAAAAGAGGATCTGAGGTATATTTCAATTAGACAGCATGCCAACAACACACTTAACAATATAATTAAGATGGCAAAAATTATATTCTGTGATAATAGGTGTCTAAAAAATTATTAAATGTTGTGGCCAAATAATAAGTATCTTTGATAATTTTTTTTCTCGTACCAAAAAAGCTTAAGATTATAAAGGTCACTGTTTTTACTTCATATTTTTTATCCAATAAAAGTGTTTTTGGCATGGAAAATTCTATAACAGAGTTAATTAAGTTTCATTTGGCCAGGAGGAGGCTAATTTTGTATTTACAAACTAACAAATCTGAAAGCTGCATTAAGCATTTACATTATTTTGATGGGTTTAGTATTTTTTTACCATTGGAGAGTTATGTCCCTTATTATTAGAAAAGATTTGTTTTTTTAATTATAAATTTCACAATGTACCACTTTACAAAACTGAAAAGATTTATTTTGGAAGATTCAAAATTTAAAATCTTATATTGTTTCCTTTAAATAAAAAGGGCTTCTGCAACAATTATCTTTAACGTTTGTGCTGAAACTAAATTGGAAATTTGGATATAATTACTTTTTAATCTAAAACATGAAAAAGGATGTTTTTTGTTTATTCAGACATCTACACTTTTAATCAGCAATACCTCAAACCAGTACAAACATTTCAACAGAAACTTTGGACAACATTAAAAGACACTGAAGGTCGGTGTTTTTTCAGGTGCCATTTATATGGCTTCCGCCAATAAAAACTGGCAGCCTTGTAATAGCCAGGAGTACTACAAGTGGCGTTGAAACAGTCATATCTTTCCAGAATAGATAAATAGCTTGTAGTTACTGAATTATGACAGGCTAGACTGGCTGTTGTTATACAAATTATTAAGGGAGTTTTCCAATGCAAACATTTATTATGCCTCATTTATGGGCATTATGTTTTCTGGTCTGTGCCTCCGTTCGTTCGTCCTGCTTCAGGTAAAATTTGTTGGATGAGGTAGTTTTTGATGAAGTCCAATCAACTTGAAACTTTGTACACATTCCCTATGATATCATCTTTCTAATTTTAATGCCAAATTAGAGTTTTTTCCTCCATTTTCAAAGTCCACTGAACATAGAAAATGATAGTGCGGATGGGGCATCCGTGTACTATGGACACAATCTTATATGTCTTTACCAAATAGGAAGGGAGAAAGGGTTCAGGGGCGGAACCAGCAATCTTTAAAAAAAGGGGGATCCAACCCAGGAGAAAGTGCGGGTTTTAAATATGTCCCCATTCAAATGCATTATCATTAAAAAAAAAAGGGGGGGGGTTCCAACCCCAACCCCTGGATCGGCCACTGGGGTCACAAAAATTTTTTACAGACTTGGAAATAATTTTGAAATGTAATAGACCCATTATTTTAAAACAAAGACTTTCAGACTGGATTTGCATACCAAAAATAAAAATTGGTTTGTATTCCTACTCATATTCATATTGTTAACAAGAAGTTCTCTTTCTAAAAGAAGATATTAAAAACCTATCCCTCTACAAGACTAGTACCTTAAACCCTTATCTGAAAACTCACTCCATCAGTCTCTATTCTCTCTCCCCTATCCCCTCCCCTCTCCCATCTCATTTCTCTCCCTCTCTTGTCTTCCATCCTTCCAACCTATTTAATTAAGTACCAATTGTTAGTAATGGTTAGTGTTGATACTTTAAGAATAAGATGTTTTTTATATTAAGATACAACCTGTAGAGGGATGGATAATTTTGCATGGAGACATACTTTTCAATTAAATATTTTTAAACCAAATATAAAAATTTGTGTTTTCTGTTACTACTAGGAATTGAACAACAGAATGAACAAATAAACAAAAATAAAATGAATATGAATATTTTAAAAAGAATACTTTTCACTACCAATTATAACCTCCTCAATGGTCCTATGCTTGCCTGATGTGTTGGAGGTAAAGGGCTCTATCCCATGTATGGACAAACCAAAGACTTTAAAAGGGGTATTTGCTGCTTCTCCCTTAAGCAAGTAGTATTTAAAAGTAAGAGCAAAGTCTAGTTGACTCTGAGTCAGAATAATGTATCCGGAAGGGTTGGAGATCTTTCTCAGACTAACATCCTTTACTTTGGGAAATTCCCAAAATTATACTGATAAACCTTGCATTACGAAATTGGTATCTTAAATGTTCTGTTCTGAAAGTTCCTTTAAAAATCTGTAAAATGGTTTAGGAATAGCTGATACATATATGTTCTACGTCTGATTTTTAAGGGCAATTTGATCTAAAATTTGAAAATTTGAAAAATTATTTCACCATTTTTTAACTTTATCTTTAACATGAGACATGAATTATGGTTTTATTAAAATTTAAAGGGAATATATCATTATTCCTTTTCATTTATAAATTTCCATATCATTTTATCTTGAAATTTCCAAATGAAGGACAAAAGGTATTAACATTATTTATCTTTATTTAAAATGTATTAACTAATCTTTTGACATTTTTTTGTTTGTGTTGTTGGTTGCTGTTCACTTACATATATCAAAACAATCCTCAGAAATAAAAATGTATACTCTTAATTATATTTAATTCCAGTTAAAAGAATGTATCCATTCCGTATCATGATATAATTAAATCCAAAATTCCAGTTAAAAGAATGTATCCATTCCGTATCATGATATAATTAAATCCTCCAAATTCCAGTTAAAAGAATGTATCCATTCCGTATCATGATATAATTAAATCCTCCAAATTCCAGTTAAAAGAATGTATCCATTCCGTATCATGATATAATTAAATCCAAAATTCAAGTTAAAAGAATGTTTCCATTCCGTATCATGATATAATTAAATCCAAAATTCAAGTTAAAAGAATGTATCCATTCCGTATCATGGTAAAACAAGTGAAACTGTGAGCTACTGCCCACTGAGGATACCCCCAACATATACTTCAGTACGCAGGAAGTTGTTGAGTTGCGAATCCAAAAACGCCTCACACAGTATAGCTGACTTTTATCAGCCCTGAAACCAAATTTCAGAAATCCTTGTATTGAAGTTCCTGATAAAAAGGTGACGAAAATTTCCACCTTAGCTATCATGTGTAAATGATACAAGTGTTTGGTTAACAGGAAGTTGTTGAGTGATGAATCTGAAAATGCATCGCACAGTATAGCTGCATTTTATCAACACTGAACCAAATTTCAGAAATCCTTGTATTGTTGATGCTGACAGACTGAATGATGGACAGACAGACAGAGGTAAAACAGTATACCCCCACTTTTTTAAAGGGTTTATTTTAATCCCCCAAATTCCAGTTAAAAGAATGTATCCATTCTGTATCATGATATTATTAAATCCCATATTCAGTTTAAAGAATGTATCCATTCTGTATCATGATATAATTAAATCCCAAATTCAAGTAAAAAGAATGTATCCCTTCTGTTTCATGATATGATAAAATCCCCCAAATTCAAATTAAAAGAATGTATCCATTCTGTATCATGATATAATTAAATCCCAAATTCAAGTTAAAAGAATGTATCCATTCCGTATCATGATATAATTAAATCCCAAATTCAAGTAAAAAGAATGTATCCATTCTGTTTCATGATATAATTAAATCCCAAATTCAAGTTAAAAGAATGTATCCATTCCGTATCATGATATAATTAAATCCCAAATTCAAGTTAAAAGAATGTATCCATTCCGTATCATGATATGATTAAATCCCCCAAATTCAAATTAAAAGAATGTATCCATTCCGTATCATGATATAATTAAATCCCAAATTCAAGTTAAAAGAATGTATCCATTCCGTATCATGATATAATTAAATCCCAAATTCAAGTAAAAAGAATGTATCCATTCTGTTTCATGATATGATTAAATCCCCCAAATTCAAATTAAAAGAATGTATCCATACCGTATCATGATATAATTAAATCCCAAATTCAAGTTAAAAGAATGTATCCATTCTGTATCATGATATTATTTAATCCCCCAAATTCAAGTTAAAAGAATGTATCCATTCCATATCATGATATAATTAAATCCCAAATTCAAGTTAAAAGAATGTATCCATTCCATATCATGATATAATTAAATCCCAAATTCAAGATAAAATAATGGACCCATTTCTGCATCACGATATAATTAAACCCCAAGCATTTTTTTTCTTTTTTTTTCTATTTTTCTTAAAATCATTAAAAACCATCACCCATGCATATTTTTTTTTTTTTTTTTTTTTTCTATTTTTCTTAAAATCATTAAAAACCATCACCCATGCATATTTTTTTTTTCTTCTATTTTTCTTAAAATCATTAAAAACCATCACCCATGCATTTTTTTGTTTTTTTCTATTTTTCTTAAAACTATATACACATTTGACACTATCCACATTTTTATAAATAATTTTTCTGTTTCCTTCTGAAAATCTTTTAACAAAAATATTGAAAAACAGTTTTGAAATGGTCATTCCCCTTTTTACACAAAAATTTGACAACTTAAATATGTTACATTTACAATAAAATTTACAAATTATTTAAAAACAACAAAAGTGTGAAAAGAGATATAGGTACCAAACTTACTTTTCTGAAACATGTGTATCCATTTCTTTGAGTTCAAAGTTCATTGTAAAGCCAATTCTGTCATCAATACAAACTGAACAACTAAATTTGGATTCCAATGGATATCAGATACCAGTAAATTTGGAGCATGCAGTGCATCTATGGATTTGAATTTGATTTTTTGGTGTTTTAACGCCACTTTTAAGCACTACTTTGGCTATTTCATGGCGGCCAGTTTGTATTGGTGGAGGAAGCCAGAGTGCCTGGAGAAAACCACTGACCTTCAATAGGAAAACTGACAACCCTAAGTCAATTAAGATTGGAGTCATGTGCACCCGCACGAGCGGGGTTTGAATTCACAACCTCAGTGTTGACTGGCTAGTGATTACAGTAGTAACTACTTAGACCACTTGGCCACCGAGGCTCCCATGTTCCTATGGATACCTTATTTACATTGGTAAGACACATGGGATGTTACTGTGGATACCTTTATTACTTTGGAGCGGAACATGTGATGTTCCTATGGATACCTTTATTACTTTGGAGAGGAACATGTGATGTTCCTATGGATACCTTCATTACTTTGGAGAGGAACATGTGATGTTCCTATGGATACTTTTATTACTTTGGAGAGGAACATGTGATGTTCCTATTGATACCTTCATTACTTTGGAGAGGAACATGTGATGTTCCTATGGATACCTTTATTACTTTGGAGAGGAACATGTGATGTTCCTATGGATACCTTCATTACTTTGGAGAGGAACATGTGATGTTCCTATGGATATCTTTATTACTTTGGAGAGGAACATGTGATGTTCCAATGGATACCTTCATTACTTTTGAGCGGAACATGTGATGTTCCTATGGATACCTTTATTACTTTGGAGCGGAACATTACTTTGGAGCGGAACATGTGATGTTCCTATGGATACCTTCATTACTTTGGAGGGATACATGTGATGTTCCTATTGATACCTTCATTACTTTGGAGAGGAACATGTGATGTTCCTATGGATACCTTCATTACTTTGGAGAGGAACATGTGATGTTCCAATGGATACCTTCATTACTTTGGAGAGGAACATGTGATGTTCCTATGGATACCTCTATTTCTTTGGAGCGGAACATGTGATGTTCCTATGGATACCTTCATTACTTTGGACAGGAACATGTGATGTTCCAATGGATACCTTTATTACTTTGGACGGGAACATGTGATGTTCCAATGGATACCTTCATTACTTTTGAGCGGAACATGTGATGTTCCTATGGATATCTTTATTACTTTGGAGGGATACATGTGATGTTCCTATTGATACCTTCATTACTTTGGAGAGGAACATGTGATGTTCCTATGGATACCTTCATTACTTTGGAGAGGAACATGTGATGTTCCAATGGATACCTTCATTACTTTGGAGAGGAACATGTGATGTTCCTATGGATACCTCTATTTCTTTGGAGCGGAACATGTGATGTTCCTATGGATACCTTCATTACTTTGGACAGGAACATGTGATGTTCCAATGGATACCTTTATTACTTTGGACGGGAACATGTGATGTTCCTATGGATACCTTCATTACTTTGGAGGGGAACATGTGATGTTCCTATGGATACCTTCATTACTTTGGAGAGGAACATGTGATGTTCCTATGGATACCTTCATTACTTTGGAGAGGAACATGTGATGTTCCAATGGATACCTTCATTACTTTGGAGAGGAACATGTGATGTTCCTATGGATACCTTTATTACTTTGGAGAGGAACATGTGATGTTCCTATGGATACCTTCATTACTTTGGAGCGAATCATGTGATGTTCCAATGGATACCTTCATTACTTTGGAGCGGAACATGTGATGTTCCTATGGATACCTTCATTACTTTGGAGAGGAACATGTGATGTTCCAATGAATACCTTTATTACTTTGGAGAGGAACATGTACCGTAATGTTCCTATGGGTATATTAATTTCTGGTAAAAATGGGACATGTTCCCATGGATACTCTAAATTCAGGGAACATCTAATTTACCAAATTTAAAACTTTAAAAAGAAGTTTAGAAAAGGACGGAGGATCTTTTTATCACTTTATTTTAATTCTGTATCTTTAGGTTTCTGTCCCCCTTTTTTCTGTTAAAATTTGTTCTATATTTTTTTTTAAGAGGGGAGGCTATTTCAATTAATCTAAATTTTAAATATTTGGCTTCCATTCTCTGTTTCACTTTAAAATTTATCTAAACGAAGGAGATGTGTGTAACATATATAAATTTGAAGGAAAATTTAACAGTTATTATAAGTTAATATGAAGGATTTGGTTATTCTGGGTTTTTTATAATTTGTCCTTTGTCTATGATTAATTGAAAATGACTTTAGGGATTATGTTATTGAGACAGCAACTAAACAACACAAAAAACCTGGACCCCAGAGGTCAATATAGTTTCCAACAAAAACAAGTTTCTATACTATAGGTCAAGTACTTAATTGTATGTTTTTGTGTTTTTTTTACAACACAAAATTGTTTAAATAGACTCTTAAGAGTGAGATTTTATTTACTCAATTTTAATGAAAGGAATTCAGAAACATGCATAAATGTTTAAACCAAAGGTTTCTAATTAAATGTTCAATTGATATTTTAAAGTTTAAAAGGTACACTTTGGTTCTTGTTTGACAACTTTAAGAAAGACCACTTTAATGGTTAATTTGAACACTGGAATATCTTTATTAAAAACTGAAAGTTTAAACGGGAATATTTTTTCATTATCATTTTTATCCAAAAGTACTGGGGTATTTGTGCTCCACAAACTTCAAAGCAACAATAAAATCATCACAACAATGTGAATACAACATTAACACATAACTTACTTCATTCAATGGACAGCAACTCTTTCCCCATTCCCTCTTTTATCTCCCCCAGTTCACCAGGCCGTGGATGTAACCTTCTCCCTCTTTTATCTCCCCAAATACACCAGGCCCTGGGTTTCCCCCTCTCCTTTTATCTCCCCACTTCACCAGAGTCCCTGGGTTTCCCCTCCCCTTTCTTTAAGCCCTAAAATCCCAGGCCAAGGTATTTGCCTTATACCTCCCTACCTGACCAAAATCCAAGTCCCAGGTCAATTTTAAATGGATGTTGCTATATTGGGCTAGGGGTTAATTAAATAGAACAATGAAAGAAAACATCAGCAAGCCAGCATAAGCTTTACATGTTAATTTATATATGCAATGCTAATTATCCTATGCAGGTATGCAGGTTTATGCAGATTGTGCAGTGTTAGATACATTGTTATACTTGACTTGCCAGTGTTAACTTTGGATATACTTTATATTTTTGTAAAAAAAGAAATTTTAACCCAGCAAGTTATGTAATAATGTTGTACTCAGACACTATAATAATGCAATATCATTCACATCAAGTTGTTGAAAGCCCAAATCTTTTGCTGAATTAAAAACTTTAAACTTATTTAATTGCAAGAAAAAAGAATTTTTAATTATTTTGCTTTATTATTATTTTTTATAGATATTTAGTTAATTTTGTCTACTCTTTTCTTTATAGATATTTAGTTAATTTAGTCGACTTTTTTCTTTATAGATATTTAGTAAATTTAGTTGACTTTTTCTTTATAGATATTTAGTAAATTTTGTGGACTTTTTTCTTTATAGATATTTAGTAAATTTTGTGGACTTTTTTCTTTAAAGATATTTAGTAAATTTTGTCGTCTTTTTTCTTTATAGATATTTAGTAAATTTTGTGGACTTTTTTCTTTAAAGATATTTAGTAAATTTTGTGGACTTTTTTCTTTATAGACATTTAGTAAATTTTGTGGACTTTTTTCTTTATAGATATTTAGTAAATTTTGTGGACTTTTTTCTTTATAGATATTTAGTAAATTTTGTCGACTTTTTTCTTTATAGATATTTAGTAAAATTTAGTCGACTTTTTTCTTTATAGATATTTAGTAAATTTTGTCGACTTTTTTCTTTAAAGATATTTAGTAAATTTTGTCAACTTTTTTCTTTATAGATATTTAGTAAATTTTGTCGACTTTTTTCTTTATAGATATTTAGTAAATTTTGTCGACTTTTTTCTTTATAGATATTTAGTAAATTTTGTCGACTTTTTTCTTTATAGATATTTAGTAAAATTTAGTTGACTTTTTTCTTTATAGATATTTAGTAAATTTTGTCAACTAATTTTGAACTATAAACACTAAACATATTGTATAGATGCCTATCTTCTTTGTTGAAGACTATGTTGACCTAAAGACGCCTTGTTTTTGTTGTTTGTTAAGTATCCCTCATTGATGTATACCAAATATATTCTTTAATTTATCAGAAGCTGCCAAATTAAGATACAGAAACCTTTTTTAATATTTTTTTAAATTTTAAAAGAGTGGTCAAGGTTAAAATGAACAAATGCGAAATTTTTGGGATGTTTAATAGGAAATTAGTGATATTTTCTTTTTTTGTTTTACTTCTGATCTGCTACTTTTTATAAATGCTCTCAATGAATTATAAAACAGAAGTGGTAATTTTATCCTTTCATCCAGAAGTGAAAATTGCTGAAAAAAATTCCTTTATTTAAACTATGAAATTTATGTAGGGGACTTTAATGTTCATTTTCTTTCTAAAGGGTGGTGACAATTTAATGTTTTAAATGAGTCAAAGGAAATATTTTGTATTTTTCATCAAAATTTCAAAAGCTAAATGGAATGTTGCACTGTTATGCTGGATTTTTATGCCCCATACATGGACATTATGTTTTCTGGTCTTACCCGGTCGTCTGTTTGTTGGTCCGTTCTTTTGTTTGTCTGTTCATTCGTCTGTCACACTTCAGGTTAAAAGTTACTCTGGTATTAATCATGCAACTTTTAAATTTTAAATTTTAACAGGATGTGGCTATGTATTAACTAAACGGTGGCTAATCTTTGGCAAGCGTTTTACTGCCGGTCAGAAGAAGACCAAGGGATGACCATATTTTTATACCCCAGTCAACCCTTGGGGAAGGGAGCTATTTTTGTGAAAATAGGTACACATATATTTAAAGCTGTTTAGCAGGAATATGCTTCTTACATGTGCTTGTTGCTTTTAAGCAATTAATCATATCTGTGATCGTGCTAACAGATATAATCATTCTGTAGAAGTAAACATTGACCTTGACCTGACACTGCATGTCTTTGACCTTACAAATAACCATTCTTACAAATAGTTTGATCTTAAATCTAGTAGACCTCTACCCTTTAAAGGAGTAATGAACATTCTATTCTTGTCAATGTTGACCTGAACTTTTAACCTCTAACCTATGACCAAACTTTAAAAGAAAATGTTGACCTGAAATGATTGGATATCTATACTGATTGACCTTGACCTGACTGATAATTATGGTGATCCATTTTGACAGTTGTCCAGCCTGAAAGTTTAACATGTGTTGGATAAAAAGAACAGTGGTTACAAAAAGACAGACACACTCTTTATAAATTTCCAAGTTAAGTAAATTAAACATTAAAAACTTTTATTTAAATTAAAACAAAATATTTTCATAAAACTTGAATGATTAAATAGCCAAAATTATTAAAACACTCATTTTGAAGTTTTGAAGAAATTGTGTTACTTAGCAAAGAATGAAAATCTTTCAAAAATAAACTGAATGACCATAAATCAAAACAAAAATTTCAAGTTTCAAAAATTAGCTTTTCCAAACATTTTTTTTAAACTAAAACAAAAATTTATACTTTTCCAATTTTTTTTTTTAAACTAAAGCAAAAGTTTATACTTTTCAATTTTTTTTTTTTAAAGAAAATATACAAAATGTATATGTATTTATCAAAAATTAACCAAAAAATTAGACAGCTGAGACAGTTTGGTATGAAGTAACAAGGCAGCCTAGCACTCTAGCCACCTGTCTCCACCCAGCAAACCTCCCAGCTGCCTCAGGGACAGGAGCAACCTCAACCACTGGAGCAGGGATCACCTCCCAGTCCAAAGGAACACCTACATCATTACCTATAACAACATACGGTGTGACTGGAGTGGCTGGAACCTCAACCTCTTCAGGACCATACCAGACAGTCTCTTCAGCGTGGTTGGTTGTTGCATCCTCATCCACTACCTCCTCGAACACAACAGTCTCCTCCTCTGTTGGCAGGAAAGACACAGTCTCCTCCAGGAACCAGTCGGCTGGGTCCTCCACCGTTGTGTCCATACCACACAGCACAGAGGCTTCCACAGACAGCTCCATGACCTCTTCCTCCTCCAGAGTTGACTCCAGAACCGAGAGCTCCTCGCCAGCTAACTCCACCTCGACCATATCATCCTCTACAATGATAACTTCAGCAGCAATTTGAATAGCTGCTTCAGGAACCATGACGGAGAATAATCGTGCACGAGGTACGACTGCTTCGAAATGTTCAGGTTGATCATTTCTTGGCAGCTCAGGAGAGGCAACTGGGACAAGTACTGGTTCAGGCTCCAACCCTAAAAGACGACGAGAGCATCGTGGTGCCTCTACTCGTGGAGCCACATAGCCGTATGGCATACCAACTCGTCGAAGACGCCTGTTCATCTGGTTGTCCACGTAGGTCCTCACACTGAAGTATAATAAATTGAATATAGTACATATTCTGCTTTCCCACTTTTTTTTAACATAACATTCACATGTCAAACTATACAAACTTTGATTATGAATTTAAATCATTGAGATACTGTAAATTCAGAAATTATTACATCAATTTATAATTGTGATTTTTAAAGAAAGTACTAAATTATTCATTTTAAAAAAATATTAACAATTTCTAAATTTACAGTAACAAATAAAATAAATAGAAATAATTCACTGTTTCAGCTATTATAGCCAAATAAGAAGCAAGTTAAGAACAGGCTTTTTTTCAAGTTTATATGCATGTTTTCTTAAGTGTGGACATTTACAAAACAGGCAAAAACAAGAATGTGTCCATAATACACAAGTGCCCCAATCACACTATCATTTTCAATATTCAGTGGACCTTGAAATTGGGGTTAAAACTCTAATTCAGCATTAAAATTAAAAAGATCATATCATAAGGAACATGTGTACAAAGTTTCTGGTTGATAGGACTTCAACTTCATCAAAAACTACCTTGACCAAAAACTTGAACCTGAAGCGGGACAGACAGAGGAACGGATGAACAGATCAGAAAAAATAAATGGGGCATAAAAATAAGTTGAGAAATCGTCCGGGTTTCCACAAAACTAATACAATTGAAAACAGAGCTTA